ATGCGCTGGCCCGACTTCGACCCCATGTACGAAGCTTCGAAGGCGTAGTGGCATGAGTGACGTTTAGCAAGTTAACTCTGAGGATCTGAGTTCGGGTCTCGGAGCGGAAAAAATTGCTGCTTGAAAATGTTTGTAGTGATGCTTTATGTAGTGGTGCAACACAGCGGACCAGTTAGAAACACTGCGAGAAAGTATGTGCTGTTGTAGCTCTTCTCGTTCTGATTTGGTCATTCGACCCGGATCTTGATCTTCCTCGTTCTCTCCATTCACTGGGTTGACTTGGTGTCGATGAGTTCGAAAATCTTCCGTTCATCCTTTAGGCACGTGTGAACAAGTAGGTGGTCTATTTTTCCACGTTATTGTGATGTCGTGCTGTATGTCCATTATTTTCTTAACGAATTCGTTCCTAACTATTTTCATTCATGATATTCCTGCCACTCTTCAGAGGAAGTTCATTTCCAGTCCCGTGTGGTTCTCAAATGCATTCAAAAGCTTTTTTATTTCTTGCTGTCAGCCAGAGAATGTGCTGCCTACTGTTGATGTACCCCTCAATAAAATCGTCTCCCAAAACGCTTTCTATTGTACGTGTTACATTTAGCTACTTTCCAGAAGTTTAGATTGGTTTGTGCTTTTTATGGCTACATTTGTAATATTTCAATTAGTAAATGAAATGAAATAGGGTGAATTAAAGATGACTAGTATCGAAAAATAGAATGTTCCTAAAGAACGTTTCGATCGCGTAGCGATCCTCAAAGCTAAAATTAAAATCACTGAAATAAATTACATTAATACATGAATTATAAAAATGAAGTATATGTTATTACAAAATGTTATACACAATGTTGACACTGTACGACAGATGCGTAAAGAAACGGGGTCGTACATACCTTCCAGCTTCCGGGCCGAATGCACTCTCTTAATCTGTGATGCAAGGCGAAAAATGTGAACAAATGTTATTCTTTTGCAAATGTATTAAAGTTTGTAGTATTAAATCATAGCTTGTGAAGGAAGCTAACATAAAAGTTTCGGCGGTATTGGTTCGCGCTGAAAGTCGACGCACTTCTGTCTATATATATATATATATATATATATATATATATATATATATATTAGAAGACTTCCGGGCCGAAAACAAAGTTCTGCGATTTTTAGAGAGCGTCTTGTTTAAGAACTGAGCGACGGTCGGCCGCGTGTGGGGGCGGGACGACGGGTGGGGTGCGGGCGAAGGGTTGTGAGACGCAGGGTGCTGGTTGGTTTCAACAATACTTTCAACAACGCTCATACATTACAGAAAACACTATCTAACACTAAAGACCCAATCCCACCTACCTCCTTATGCGGGGTCTATGCTTTCAATTACAATAACTGCAATGCCAAATGCATAGACAAAATTCACACAGATAGTAGAAGCAGCGTGGAAAAATAACTCTACCACAGTCTCACATTTCGCGGATCACTTAAATTTAAACAAACACACATTCGACAATCACATCGATTTCCTTATTTTAGAAGTTGAAAACTGGTACTGGAACAGAATAAAATTAGAATCCCTACATGTACACAACACCCTCAAAAAACAGAACAGGGTTTGTCTTAACCAACGAATACCTGAACTCGGTCATATCGGTTAAAATTACGAGTAGCACAAAGTGTACACCCGTTAACTCCACTCGCCTTCGCTCGTCCCGCGCCTCCTCAAGCACTCCCTCGTCCCACGGTCCTTCACCCGCACCCCACCCCTCTTCCCGTCCACAGCTCGCTGCCGGCCGACATTGTTCTTAAACAAGACGGTTTCTAAAAAGCGCAGAACTTTGCTTTCGGCCCGGAAGCCTTCTTATATATATATATATATATATATATATATATATATATATATATATATAAGAAGAGAGAGAGAGAGAGAGACAGAGAGAGACAGACAGACAGAGAGACAGACAGACAGAAGTGCGTTGACTTTCAGCGCGAACAAATACCGACGAAACTTTAATGTTAGCTTCCTTCACAAGCTATGATGTAATACTACAAACTTTAATACATTTGCAAAAGAATAACCTTCGTGCACATTTTTCGCCTAGCATTTTTCGACTTGCATCACAGATTAAGAGAGTGCATCAATTGCAATTGTTTAGCTGTATACCACTAGAGGATCCCGAGTTGAGTTCTTTAATGCACAATTGAGTTCTTTAATGCACAGAATTGCGTATCTATAGGAGAGGACTGTCAAGAATTATCAGCCATTATTAAGAACCCCACATTGCGTACTCCAATTCAAACAAAGGTTGATCCTAAGTTAATGGTACTTTAATTATATTTAAACGTCAATAGACTGAATCAAGGGCTGACGTTTGGAGGGGGGGTGCCCCAATAAGAAAAAAAATATAAATTTATTTTTAGCAATAAAGTGAATGAGGGAGACCTGGTATTTCCATGACCGAACAAGGTGGAAAGGGGCGGAGTGGGATACAATAGAATAGATAGAAGTAGACTCCACTGCAGGGTGGGATTAGAGGAAATTACTCTTTATATCTAATAAATAATTATAAATACCCGAGAAACGCCGGGTATGTCAGCTAGTTTATGCTAAAAACATTAATATGTATGAAACAAGTGCAGTGTGTTATACAATTGTCTGAAAAAAATTGTCAGAAAAAGTATTTGCACTTAAACTGGTATATACTGCCTTCTCATTTGAAAGAAATTTTTATGTACCTATGTATTACTCTGATTGTAAGTTTATCATATTCAAAGAAGTTTGAATTGTGCTGATATCACTCTTACAAGTATTTGTTATTATTTATATATGAGGTTTTTTCATTAGGCGAGGGTGTTGTTTCCAGTACTCCAATACTATTACATAATGCAGCGCATAAATATTGAAATACTTAGGCAGGTAGAAAGGATATTGAAAACTTTGTTGTGAAGTTAATAAAGATATAAAATGGGTCAAAAGAAAGTAGTTGTTAAATGATTATTCTGATGAGGACAGTAATCGAGATAGCGTATTCTGGGGGTTGCTTCTTTAAAGCACATTTCCCAAAAGTTGATATTTTTAATACTAAATTAATCTTTTTTGACTTACATATGTAATAAGAAACTAAAAATTTCAGGTGTTGTTAATAAACGTCTTCCACATTTACTTTAATAAGAGTCTTCAACTTTTTTGATTACCTTAGTATTATCCATTCTAAAGAACTTTATTTATTGCAAAACGTGGTTAAAAATACATAATGGGAAAATATTTTTATCTACAAAAATAGAAAACATTTTTCAATACTGTTGTTTAAGTGTTACTCTTTGTGATATATCTGTAAACTGTTAATATTTTACAAGGCCAACTTCAATAGATTCTGAGAATTGGACTCAAAGATGTTACTTTGCCAAAATAGAGCATTTCATGTACTCTTAACAACATTTAAAGACTTTTAACTTGTTGATTTGACATATTGTAGCTTTATGCTAGTCTTACATTTCACACTTCACTCCTTCGCTAGACTCAGCAGGCCACGTAAATATTTTAATGATAGTGGTCTTTCCAATTTAGATTTTATCCTCATGGTTAATTTTATTTTGATTCGAACGTTCTCATTCCATATCCATTACCTCAAGAACAATAGTTCAGACGCTATCACTTCTTGAATGAAGTTAGCGCCAGGGAGCCGATAAGTAGACTCGCATCTTTGAAGTGTTCTATTGCAAATATTATATTTACATGCACTTTCAAAAGTGTAGTCCACAATTCTTTCTTTCATTTTCTCAACTGCTTGCTCGAGAGACACATCCATTTTCAAGGAGATTGATGATGGAAACGTCTTGAAAACAGGAAATGAATGAACGAAATTACTATGAGAATGAATGGATATTTGATGTATTTCTGCCTTCTGGCACGTTCGCAAGATGAAACTATCAATATCTGATGCCGACTGCGCCAATAGTCTTTGTCGCAGGTGTTGCCTCAGCTCCCAGCATCATTTGGTTTCGTTGCGTTACATAAGTCGATTTGTTTCAAGTTTTGAGCTTGGTACACTTCTAGTGTATGACTACGGGTCCGCAACATGCTGAACAATAGATATCATTACAATATTCAATGTAAATAGAATAATTTTAGAATCGAAATCATCAAAAATATTTCGTAAGATATGAAATTGACTTCCTGGGACACAATTGTTCATAAGTATTCATGGGTTAGAGGATATCGGGATGCTCTGAAAGTGAAATAAGTGAGAAAAGGCGAGAAGTTGCGTGTTTCCTGTTGACTCGCTCGAAATGCCCTTGAAACGAAGAATCCTTTTAGCGAGCAACGGCTTCGCAGCAGCGTTCCCTTCCCAGTTGCCCTGCCCACACGTGCGTTGGCCCGTTGTTTTCAAGACCTCTACATTGAGCGGGTGCTTGTAAATGTATTTTCATGAAGTGACTTTTCTTTGATCCCAGAGCAGCAAAGGTGATGTTTCAGGGACAACGGTGCTGCGAAGGGAAGTAAGGCAGTCAAGAGAGGAGCAACGGGGAACGAATTAAAAGTCGCCTGTAGACTCTCGTCTCATGCTAGGACAAATTTATTCACATAAAAAACACGTAGGAAGTACATACAATCTACATGCACGCCATCGCCGCCCGGGGCGCCAGTGGAGCCAACTAAGAACCGAGAGAGCCGGGGCGGGGGCGGGGCTGCCGCCGCGGGCGGGGCTGTGAAGGCGCGTCCTGGTGCGGGCGTGCGCGCCGGCGCGCGCTCACACGCCTCCCGCGTGTGTTGGCGCGCGCGTGCGCGGCGCCCTCTCGCGTCCGGGGGGTCGCAGGGTCGGTGGCTGCGCGGCCCTCCCCCGCCGTCGCTGCGTGGTCCGCTCCGCTCCGCGCCGCGCCGCGTCACGTCGCCCGTCTCCCCGTGCGGGGAGAGGCGCGTGTCGCGGGCGTGGGCGGGCGCGCGCGCGCGCGTGTATGTGTTCGCGTGGGCGGGCGAGGGAGGCGCGTGCCTTGCGCGTCGAGTCGCTCTTGTCTCGTCTGTCGTCTTACGCCGAAGGCTTCTCTTCGGTGCAGGTGGTGGCCCCCGACGCCACGGAGCTGGTGTCGTCCTCGGCGTTGGCGCACGCCAGGCTCGGGAACTTCTTTTGCAGCGCCGCGCGGTACTTGGGGTGGCTGAGGACACCAACGGAAGTGGGGGTGAAGGACATGCATATGGCGGGCGCTTGCGCAGCCTGCAACTTTCACTCTTATACAGGGTCTCTGTGGTCCTAACGTTTTTACATTTTGCTTTTTACTCCGTACAGTTCCATTTCTGAGAGATTGCTCTCGTAATCTTTTTTTTTCCTATGTTTCTACTTTCGTTTTAATCACTGGCAAATGAAATATATTTTGAGAAGAGATATAGGAAGGTCCTGAAATTTGATTCTATTGCGTCAGTGCGTACACATAGCTGTTAAGGGCCTATTAATCTTTATTTAAATAATCATTTGCCCTTTTATTGAAATTATCAAGAAATATTACAAAGAAACATTTTCGAGAACGTAAAGTGCAGCGCCACGGATGCTCTGCACATGTAGATCCTGGGCTCATGCATCGTAGGGTTAAGTGCCGGGGGAGGGATTTGCGGATAAACACTATTTCAACCATTGTATTGGGTAATATCAATCCCTATTTTCTTTTGGGCAGGCAGAATTGATGATTGCAGTGAATTAACAGACATTGTGTGTACTGATAAAGTGTGTACTTTTTTAGCGATTTGATCAATAAAATACTAAAGAATGAGTTGTCGATTTATAGTACTATTTCAACCAATTATCTTCACAATGCACTATAAATGAACAGTCGATATAATTGACTACACAATTACAACGATTGATACACACAAATTAAATTGGAGAACGTCAAAAACTAAAATTTCATAACAAATTGGAAATTCTTTTCTGATTCGTAAGCATTCCGTTTCGATCATGTTCACACTGAGGGTGAGTAGAAAAATGAGCCTGGAAAAAGAATTCTTTTAGATATTATTATTGGTTGCGGACTTACATTTTTAGAGTTGTTGACCCTTTTTTTCGACGCGAGTGAAACGTTTAAGTAAATGGTAAACGGTAAATGATAAACTTCGTGTGCTTTCATTATATTTGTTCATTTCTTTGTTAATTTTTGCCTTTGCAAATAATTCTAGTAGACTAAAATATAATCGAAAAATAATTTGTTTTTTAGCAAAGCATTGTTGTGTGCAAAACTATACGGCCAACGCAAATAAAATTAAAATATTCTGCTCATTTTTTAGTAGTTGCCCGTATTTGTGACTCAACACCATGGGTGTACTTGTTCCAGCAAGATTCGCTCAAATCCTGCACAGGTTGATATGCTAAGTATTGTTCGAAAGAAACGGAATCTGCCTTCCTTTCCTGGAAAACGCTTAGTCTGAGCTTTCCATCGCAGCACTTTGTTCAACGAAATTCAGTGAGGGGTCATTTCTGCTGAAGACGCTTATCTGATCATTGAAAGCGGATGTAGCTGTTCCGAATACATGAAACATACAAGAACCCACCATTCATCTTCAAATGCGCAATTCATGAACCCAAAGATTCGGACTTGTTCCCTTTCCTTCCCATCAATGAATTGTACCTCGATGTCGACACTCAAACTTTAAAAGTCTTAGTAGACACTGAGTTTGAATATGTGATTGTTACTAAAACTATGGGATTAAATTTTTGACAAAAAGCTGACGTTCGTCTTGAAGATTTGGGGTAGTAAGGCATTTTGACAAGTGCTAAAGAAGAAGAAAATTAATACGTAATCTCGTCATTATGAACAGCAAAAATATTGAGGTAAATTGGTAAACAAATATTACATTAATGATGGCCGTGTAACTTAGTTGATTTGACGCCTACAATTAGTTAAATTCTATGCATTTTACTTGCAGTGTATTGACCGAATGTCATTCTGCGGAAGAAACGTCCGGCTTGCAACACTTATTGAATCAAGTTTTCGGAGAAAAAATGTAAAGGACATTGTAATGTGCTGTTATATTATTCGACGGCTTAGAAAATTGGAACTTAATTGGGTCAAATTTTTTTAATTGTGCAATATTTTTCCTCGGCGACTTTTGTAAATTATACTGTAAATGACCAAATTTTTCAACTGAGCTTTATAGATGGTCTTCAAAATTGATTTTCTGAAAATAAAATATTTGAGGAATAAATGGACTATTAGTAAGCATCGTTGCATTTAAACGATGCACTCAACTGCTATTTTTGAATCTGGTAAATTTTGCATCTGTCGTCTCCATCTTTTCTCAATTTTTTCATTTACCAATTTATTCGAATCCAGAAAGAAAGATCTTCGAATGTTCATTGGTGTCCGTGGTCATTTCCGACGTTTTGTACATACTTGTACAACACCTAAGATTATTTTATTTGTATATGAAAATTTTTTAAAGTTTCACCAAATTTGTAATTTTTTACCATTTAATGGTTGTCTGGGATGTTTTATAAATTAACACGAAGCAAATAAACGCACCTGATGCCGTAGACAATGGGGTTGTAGACGGCGTTGGCCTTGGCAAACAGCGAGCTCCAGATGGTGGCCAGAGGGCTGATCTTAGCGCCGTCGAAGATGCCAGTGTAGTTGATCACCAGGTAGGGGGTCCACGCGAAGAACCACAGAGAGATGGTCATGAGAGCCACCTGGGGGCAGAAGTAAAATCAAGGATGTACGGTGGAGAAGACAAGGCGAATAAGGATAGCAGAAGAGGAAGATGAGTAGTAATTGAGGAAGAGGGGAAAGAAGAGAAGTTGAGGATTAAGAAGGGGAAAATGGAGAAGTTGAGGAGAAGAAGTCGAGGACCGGGAAGAGGGAGAGTGGAAGTCAAGGAGAAAGAGGGGAGGTCGAAAAGTTGAGGCGTCGAGGAAGAAGAGGAGGCCGAATTGAGGAGGAAGAGTAGAGATGGAGAGAAGTTGATGAGGAAGAGGGGGAGAAGGCGAAGAAGTCGAGAAGGAAGAGTGGAGGAGGAGAAATTGAGAAAGAAGAGAAGGAGAAGTCGGAAGGGGGGAAGAAGGGAGGACGGGAATGAACAAAGGAGTGGCACGCTGCGCGTACCTTGGCCAGCTTGCACTCGGCGCTGGTGTTGGCGTTGTCGGCCGATCGCAAGGACGCCACGTTCATCTTCTTGGCTTGCTCGCGCATGGCCTTTTCGTGGGCGGCGACGGCCTGCACGATGAAGAAGTACGAGTAGATGATGGTGAAGAGAGGCGCGAAGTAGACGAAGAAGGAGTAGACGAGGATGTAGGAGCGGCTCTGCCACGTCTTGGTCAGGTAGTCCGTGCCGCAGGCCGTCATGTTGCCCTCGGGCACGTAGCGGTTCCAGCCGAAGAAGGGCATGATGGTCCATGCGATGGAGGTGACCCACACGAACAAGATGCGCAGGGCAGCCGTCTTGTTGGTCATCGGCTTCGCCGACAGCCCCTGCGCATGAAGCGGCAAAGTCATATGGAAGCCGTGGGCCCTCATACGGAACGTTCAAATTTTTTAGCTTTTGCATTGATGTCATTGATTTAAGATTCAGAACGCCAAAAAAATATGCATCCTGTAATTTTTAATACGAATCGCATTAATAAAAGTACGAAAATACTCTAAACTAACTCTAAACTACTCCCATCATCATCTTTCCCTTTTCGAAATTCTTTCTTTCAGTAAGAAGGTTGCATAATAATCCTCCTGTAAGTAGGTGACACGTATTTATGAAAGAGGACGAATTTTCTTTATGCAATTAGTTAATCCGATTGTCTGGCAATCCAGTAAAGAAATTTGAGCCAATATTATGATGTCCTAGTAAGTAAGAGGATTGTATTAATATGATATATTTTTTATATCCCGCAATATATGATTTCCCTATAAAGAATATTCTTAAATATATTATTTAAAATATATTTTTATGAGGTGTTGACTGAAATCTATTAATTTGAATTAGATGTGAGTAGTTTTTGAGCATGTAAATTAATTGCATGATATCTGGTAGGGGTGACTATTTTGAATAAAACTGAAAAGTTTAGAGACAGTTCCTCTCCAGCTTTAACACTCCATGTTAATTTGTCAATAAGAACAGTCTTACGTCCCTTTAAATTCAAGAATGTATCATCTCTCGTCCACATTGTTTTCGAGGCCTAAAAACAGTCGACCATTCGCAAAGTTATACTTTTTTCCAATTTGATATTAACATGCGTGTCTGTTAAAAACGTTCCTTCCAGATAATGGTGATGTATTTAGTCTGGCTCGAGTCTAAGGATTTCTACTGATCATTTGCTCTTTTTAGCAACTTTAAACATTAAACAGTCCTGCTCTGTATTTTACAATTATGTGCGAGTAACCACTGTCTGAAAAAGGACTCTTCTGCCACAACTGCTCGAGATGGAAATACGTTTAACGCCAAGTACTTTACTACTGTTGTCTTGCAAGGGTTTGTGTACTAAAATGAAGCTGTCAAACCTATTTCCCCATGCTGCCCTTTTTACCTCCGGTGTTAACGATGACTGCAATTTGGCCCAATCGTTCTTGGCTCATCATCTGTGTTTCGTAACTGTGTGTTGATCGTGGGTTTCCAAACTAATATATTCCTCGTAAAATTCTCCTTCTCACTATCTGTGTACCACACAGTTCAGCCCATTTTTAAGACTCAGTTATAGCAGATAGTATAAAAAAATTGTATTTAATGAAATTCTTTCCGTGCCTCTGTATTTCCGCCTGGAAGCCCGGGAAGTGTACTTCCATGACGATAAGCCGTTGCTAAACCCGCGTTATCAGAACCTCTCGTTTAGAACCCTTTTTGCCCGTTTGCGGCAAAACCTCAGAATAGTCCCCGAACGCAGTCGCGTGCGTAAGCCCCCCACGCGGCCGCTTCTGGCCGGGGGCAGCACCGCTGCCGTGAAGGCCGCTTGACCGGGTGAAGACACTCTGCCCCGTCCCACGCGGCCCGCCCCCGCCCCGCACCCAATGCCACACGAGCGTACAACACTCCCTTGACGCGCTTTGAAATTCGCATTTGTTTGTCCTTCTCGTTAGAATTTGTCTCCGCCACAAACATCACCGCCACCCGCACATAAGCTTCCCTCTTTCCCGACCCAACTCCTTACTGCTACCCTAAAAATCAACCTCTCTCTACCATCGCCTTAAAATTGTACCTCCTGTTTGAATTTCGCCGTTCTTTTCTCCGGAGAAATTGATAAATTGGTTCGTCCAGATCCGTGAGTGAGTTTGTAACTTTTCACTCGACCAAAGTCAGAGCTATTAGCTACTAGTCGGAAGGCTTTTTGGAGGACGCGTTCAGACGGGAATTGTACAAGTCCGGGATGTCCAATCCTGCTTTAAATGTCGATCCGAGGATACGTGCGCCTGAAGGGGGAATGGAAAAGTAACAGGGCGTGGTATCCCATCTCCAAGGACTTAAGTCCCCAAGTATTGAGAGAATACTCAAAGACGGGTCCGAATTGGTAGCTCCTGCTTGACCACTACTGGTAACATAACTGCAGGTCGTGCCCATACTCATTTTGTCAGTGCGTTTCTTTACAATTAACTCAGTGACTTTATCACTATTCCTTGCAATGTCATCGCCCTGCATGACTTTCATTTGTCTCTCAACCCGTGAAAGCGGTGCCTTCCCTCCATACATAGTAACTCCTCTCTACACATGACGGTGCATTTTGGCGCTTCGGCAATTAACGCCGTCGCCGCCACGCGTTCCCCATCGCCCCAATCTGCTGGCCGCCGCTTCCGTCCGCCGGAAGAGACGACGCTGCGTGCGGCGCGGCGGCCTTCGTGGGCGGTGCGCCCCGGCCCAACAGAACACGTCGCCGTGACGTTCTGGTATTTGCAAACGACGCGAATGACGTCAAGGGACTGTTGCGGGACGAAGCTTGTCGCTGCGTGGATCATCCATGTCAGTGGTGGAATGAAGATGAGTCCGGGAAGGTTTCGTAAATGTACCCCACACTGATGATGCCTCACTCCTTTGAGTTATCAAATCGCATTCGTAAAACTTTCCCATTAGGAAAAACGTTTCTATATTTTTATGGTGGCATGCGAATTTTTTGTGCATTAATGTTTTTTCTCTCTCTATTATATGGCGACGAAAAGCAGTATTTTCTTCTCAAATCATTATCTATGAAGTGGGTGCACCTACGGATGTGTGAGGTGGTTTAGGATATGCTTTTCCGTGGGGGTTGTGTGAGGTTCATGTTTTATTCGTGAAATGTTGAGAATAGTTTGATAATTGACAAATTTTAACTTATTAAATAAAATCAATATGATGGGCTTTTTTTGAAAGTAGTGAAACTGCGCTGTATCATTTTACTTGGTTTAGAGCTTCTACTTAGGATTGGAAATTATAACGTATTTCGTGGATATATTTAATATTTACTTTATAAAATTTTGTCAGTTCACCTTGTTCCGCGGGTGATCGACTGTCAGAATGTTGCACAATATTTGTTTACTTTTGAATATGTTGCAAATCTGTGTGAAAAAACTCTTTTTTCTCGGTTGATGCTGATTAGCGCATGGTACCTGCTCAAGTGTGTGCTTTTCTTGGCCTACAGGCGGATTCACTTTTGCGCGCTACACAGGTATCCTGTCTACTGGCTCATTATTCCGTTCACGAAGTTCCTTTCTTCGTGGAAATCAGTTATGACTGTCATACGTAAAGTCATGGAAGTGATGTTTGATTACTTCACTCATATGGGAAGCTTTTGCAATTGAGCAGAGAGTTCAGGGGAGTTTCATGTTTATTTTAATGTTAATGTAGGATTCATTACTATCTCATTTGCAATATTCTAAGTAATGATTTGTAAGCATTATTAATGAAGTTTCTGTACTTAATTTATGATAATTTTGACTTGTTAATATTAAATTTTAGTCTAAAAAAAAATTCATTTGAGTCACACGTGACGCTCCGGGGAAGATTATAAAAGAATTATAATCTTTGAACATATCGTAATAATTAAAAATGATAAATTTAAACTCAGGAAAAAATTAAGAGAGGTCACCAGTCTGTATGTTTGAGTTCGGACTGTATTGTGAATAGGAAATTGAAGTAGGGCCTATTGTCTTAAAACCCAATCCAAAGTGAGCGTTTTCAATTAACTATGAAAGAAGAGAGACTCGAGCAAATATGTTTTATAAAGCGACTTCAGTGAAAATTCATGATGATTTTCAGATAATATAGTTAATCGAAAGCTCTGCAAGGATAATCGTTAATTCGGTACAAGGGATTGCGCCAAGTTATCGTGTTGGTGGCGTGCGTGGGAGGGGGAAGGAGCGCGCTGCTCCCGGGGCGAGGCGAAGGGGCTCACCTTGACGATGACGTTGTACCTATCGAGGGCGATCATGGTCATGGTCCAGATGGAGCCGCAACCGAAGAGGGACCCTGCCATGCCGTAGAGCTCACACATCAGTGGCCCTGCGGACACACAACGCCGAAGCACGGTCAGGCGCAAGGCGTCACTGCTGCTCTAATTAAAATTACACGTTTAATGTGAAATCCAAGGAGAAATAAAAAAAACGAATAAAAATGAATAAAATACATTTTAAAATACGAATGAAGGGTGAAATTTTTTTTACACTTTTGGAAAGGACGTAAGCAAGTTGCCTCCTGTACATGATGATAAAGAATCTCAAATCTAATGACGCCTCTGATACAAACGTTAAAGAATATTGCCCCAGGAATTCCTGTTTTCTGCAATACGGTTATGTGATGCCAGGCCTGTCTTTCCCGTCCTAAGATCACGAGCGCATGAAAAAATGAATTACAGAGTTCTTGAACCTTATTGTTTCTTACCAAAACAAGGTTATCCTGATGTACGATATAGACTTTATTCTCATTTGCGTCCCAGAACAATTAAAAATAATTTCGTTAATTGTTTCGGTTGTATGGGGATCGACTTACCCAGCACCCAGGTCTCGTAGTAGCAGTTGATGACCATAGCAGGTGACATGGCCAACATCATGAGGAAGTCTGAGAAGGCCAAGTTGACTACGAGCAGGTTGGAGGGCGTGCGCAGGCCCTTGGTGGAGCAGAAGATGTAGACGACCATGCCGTTGCCCAGCACCGAGATCACTCCCAGCACGCCGATGACGAAGCCCAGGAGGCCGTGCCAGAGCGGGTTCATGGGAGGGAACTGGTACCTGCGCCCGGCCAATGCAAGGGCGGTGAGCGGGTTACAAACAACAAACGCGCCACCGATGGGCGGAGCGGGAGCGGGAGCGGGTGGGTTCCGTTGTACATAATAGAGAGTGTTTGCAAGTCGTGGATTTGAAAGTCGCATCACGACAATTCTGGAGAGAATTGTACTGCGCATTCGATTGATGAGTCCCGTCGTTTTGCCTGTTTTGTTGCCTACGACAAATGTGTTTATAACTTTCACTTAACGGTTTTTGCCGCCACTACTAAACATGAATCCAACACTAACACGCAATCAGCATGGAAATGATGAAAAATACAATATCCATAGTACCAAATTAATATGGTAGGCACATTATGATTAATTTTTTTTCAAGTGAATACAAATATGTCAGGAATAAAGTAATGTAACTGTTTAGTATTTCGAGGTTATGAATACATTGACGTTGCATTGTTGTCACGAAAAATAATTATTTATCTACATGGCGTTATAATTGCCATACATTTACCATTCCTGATATAAACAATATAAATATGTTATAGTAAAATAGCGGGCTATAAGAATATCTAGGAATAACTACGTAGTTTTCTTTGCAGATAAAGACCTGTATTACATATTCGTCTGATAGATCAGTTTTCATGTATTAGTATAAGTTTTACTATATTGTAATGATTATAAAATCAAAAATACACTCAAGGATACACAGATATTCAATAAAAGCTTTTAGATTCTGTTAGAGGTATTCACTTACAATTAGTTCCTAGTTTTGTTTTCGATTGTACGACATGCAAAAACATTTTTCTGAAGATATTCATTATTTACTATTAACGGAAATGTTTATGTACTACGAAAATGAATTTCCCGTCTTGCAAAATCTCTCTATTGGCGTAGGTTATACCTTTATTGAATTTTTCTACAACGGTTTTCTTTGTCTAAGGTTGTTAAAATGTGCGTGCACTGAAACGCTCGTAATTTAAACGTATAGCGCTGAGATGAGCGCTTGATTTGCACCTCTAAAGGGATCCTTATTGAGTTTTGGATTGAAAATTTTGAATTTTTTTATTTGCGTATAGACTTTTCTGTTTATAATAGTTTTTGACTCGTCAGTACGATAACTACATGAATTTTTATGTATTTTTTTCCTTTAGTGTCACAAGTACTTTAGAAAAAAATAGTATTTGGAGATGATAAATACAGTAAATATGCAAAGGGCCGTGAACATTTTGAACTTATTGATTTATCTATTTTATCTGGTACTTTGTCAGATAAATTGCAAAAATTATAAAATTGCAAAACTGCAAAAATTGTGCAACATACGACATGGCGCTAATTGTTAAATTTAATAAGCTAATTGTAAGCTATGGTTCAAGTCTCTTTTATGTCAGAAGTTCGAAGCCAGTTTTTCGTTGGTCTCCTTTTTGTATATATGAGGAACATTTTCTCAGCTTTTAATTATGATAGAAAGCTGAAATTTGCAGGATTTATTTATAGAAATAGTATGCATAAACAGAATAAATTGAATTTATATTTCGGCATTTTGTTCAACAATATGCCTTGTTCAGGAGGAAAAATATATCATATATGAAAAAATATCTCAGAAAATAATTCATTATTTCAAAAACTATTTATCTAGAGTTTACAAAATATTCATATCTTCCACTAGTAAAAATTTGAAATCCCCAAGTTAAGGAGTTTCTGAGAAAATGGTGCTTAACATCATCCAATTGCACATTAGTGAGATAGGGCATTCCGGGTTCCTTTAAAGCGTTGTTATACGCCCTTGATACCAGTGAGAATTTTCTGTTGTCATCTGAAAGATATAGTGATGCAGTATTTAATTACGTATACCTATTGGCCTGTTATTGAAGTAAGAGCTTGTTCGAAATACTACAATGCAGTTTAGTAACTAAAAATTGTACGTGAAACAAGGCCAGGTAGTTGACTAAACCGTTTGTGGCGATTGCTTATTTCAAATGCGCGAGCAGTATTCTCCGGCTTTCTTACCAGTAGGCGTCCACCATATGCATCATTTCCGGCAGCACCTTGTCGACGACGGTGATGTTGCCGCCCATGCCGCCTCCGCTGCCCCATTGGTAGGCGCTGAAGTGCGGCTCGTTCGGTAAGACGGTCATTTCGGCAGCTGCAACAGGAGCAAACCAAACGCCCTTGGCCCTCAGGCGTGCCGGTGTTGCCAACTCGCGATCCGCAACAGACTGATTTCGACGCCCTTGACAACCGAACTGCCCTACTGCGATGAAGATGCATAGGGCATTCAGGAGGAATAGTCTAATTCCACGAATGAAATCCGTGGTGCATTGGTCAACCGGGAGATCAGTGCTTTAGTTTAAATCAATTCCATACTTCTACAGAAATAATAACCATGCAATTTTTGAATTGTTTTCTATTTGAAATATATTCATCATCTGTAAGCCAAACTTGAGGCCAATGACTCTTAATACATTGACGATGAAAAAAGCACACGGGAAATGAACAAAAATCACTGTAGAAATTAGAGATTCATTCTAAGGAATGTGTAAATTGGGATTGTGTTGTTTCTATAAGTTTATGGGTGAAATTGGCGCGCCTAGTAATTTTGAAAAATTCAACTGAAATTAAATATACTGTATCATATACTTTTATCCACGAGGACTTTGCACAATATCATTTAAGTTATGATGAACGCTGGGGGATAGACAAGTGTTACTCAGAGGAATATTTTATCGAGAATATCCCAATTTAGGATGTTCCACAATCGGAATTGCTTCTTTCTGGGTTCCTGTAACAGTTTTGTCAAGTTTTTCGCCTTTTGAGTAGCAGGATATCATTGCATATTTGGCATTAATATAGACATTTTAAATGAGTTAAAACATTGCTTTCCACATGACAAAATTGCATGTTTCATCGCGATTTATTTCTTGTCTAATTTTTAACCATTTTCTTGACAAAATGGCGCCCATTTACTCACGCAGTTTGGTGAATCCAGGTCTATTTCCATAGGACGCGCGTTTAAGAAAGCGTACGCACATTTCTTGGAAAGAAGTTTTGGATTTGAGTTTTCTATTCTTTAAAGTACCTACTTTTCACGCAGACTTATCGAACGTTAAAATATTAAGTATAAAGTTGTTTTAGAAATTAGAATTTCGTCTTGCATGTGTGGTTCATTCCAAAGAAATCGATAGTGCATAATTTTCGTAATTTGTATTCCCTTTAAGGTATTTTCCGCAACTGTGTACCCACGTTGAGTTCATGAAAATATATCATATTTTTTTAGTTATTAAGCGTCTGACAAATTCGAGTTCTACGGAGAAGTATCTGTGCAATTTCCGATTTCTGAAAATTGCTGCATGCCCGCAAGAGTCTAAACTGCGCACTGTCGCACCGCTCGTTTCGTCGCTGCTCACCTGTGGTGTTAAAGTCTCTGGGAGGTGAAACGAGAACCGAAGAAAATCGCTACGTGTTGAGACGAACTACTTCGGGTTCTGCTGCCGGCACTGCGCTCTCCTTCCCTGCTTCGATGCGGCTCGGCGGTGGCGCCCGCCCGCGCACCTTAAGTACTCGCCGACGCCGCCCTCCTCCTCCTGCGCCTCGACCGCTAACGCGATCGCCGCTAACAGCCTTAGCGCAAATATGTAACGCGCGCATCCATAAGCGGATCGCCCTGGGACGCGACACGTGGCCGCTGCCAACACAAGCCCCGGCCTCTTCCGCCCCCCCCCCCCGGCAGTCTGTGCTTCCAGGGTCAGCGTCGGGTCTGTTGTCCAAAATTTTAATATTTTGGACAATAATGTTACAGTAATAATTAGGGAACAGATTTTCATGTAAACAAGTATTTTTACAGGAACAAGAGTCCTACATTCAATAGTATTTATAATTTACAAGATTTTTTAACGAATTAGATCAATTTTGTTCACATATTTTGGTTTAATTACATATTTACGTATTACTAAATATTTCGTTACAATTAATACATTTTTATGCCAAACGAAACATTTCAGATTGGAGTTCGGAATATATGTCCCTGAAACCACTTTTCTTACGTAGCAAAAATGCATTTTTATGACCTATTTTTTCACGAATTGTCAAACTAAACCCCTCGTGCTTATTGAAAACCGCGTATCGGGATCGAGGATGAGCAGATATATGTGAAGCAGAAGTGATTTCAATCACATGTTTGCTCATGTTTCATAGACCCTATTCGTAACTCCATTAAACACTAACATATTTTCACAGATCATAGTGTTATCGCATTGTTGGAGTTGAGGACAGTATTGACCCTTTACCCCCATTCCAGGAACCATTACTCACTACGCCGTACTTGACTGCTACGCTCCTTGTAGGCGACGTTGAAATATACTATGAAAGTATATTACTTTTGTAGAAATAGAACTCTATTTCAACCCGTCTAAAACCATGTTAAGATCTGATCGGCGACGTTCTGAGATAGAAAAAGGCTTATGTAGAGGAAACACTATAATGAAATTTTATTTTACATATTTTCTATTTTTTATTACGTTTTGGAAAATAATAAATACACCTATAAGTACATAGTTTAGTTTTTATTTCAATAAATTCCCTTCACTAGCAATAATAATTATTAGGGTTGACGGTATTTTACTTATTTCTTTAAGTGTCATTAAGCCAATATAGATAAAGGTCCAACCAAGTCAATTATTTGTGATATTGGCCGTGTTTAATACCACATATTTATAAGAAAAAACTCATATAAATAGAAAATACATTTTTGTAATTAGAGTACATATATAGCGCATGTAGCGCATTTTTTTTGTTTTTAACGGAAGATAGCCGTTAAAATTCTTTACGGACATCGGTCGTTAAAATTGGCTTTTTATTCTTGTTACTTGTCGATATGACGATAAAATAGTAGTGTTCCACGAAAAAATAAATTTGTGCCACTTGGCACTTTTTTATAGACATACAGACTTTTTGTAGACAAACTATGTTGGAGTGGATTAAAAGAGCTTGCCTTCAATTACAAATACTAGTAATTTTTTCCATCCAGTATTGAAAAATAAAAAAAATGTGTTTTACAAAAGAAGGCTGTAAGACGTTAATTCTTATATCACTGTTAGCCAAACTCTGGGTCCAACTTTGTTCTTTGAGCCTAAATTCGACAGCATATTTTTTTCTTGTGTACTTATTTCTTCCGAAATAAGAACTTTCTGAAGGAATTGAAAGTGTAAAACCCCTGTTTGATACTTCCCGCTGGGCTCAAAAGCTTAACTGGTTGCTTTGCAGAACTTTGCTTCTGATACAGAATTTTGACAAAGACTCACAAACACAGTACTTTCGTTAACACACTCCCTGAGACCTACGTACACATCGAATTGGTACATTAATCGAATGACCGACATACACATGCCCACATGCCTGCATATTCAGCAACATCATTAAAGTTTACCGACCTATTTCAATGATATTAAGTTTACAAATTCTACTGAGAATTCTCAACCAAGTAAATATTGTTTTATTTACACAGAGAGAACAGCAGTCATTATAGTTATTCTGCTAATTAAGCTGAAGTGTATTATTAGAGTAAGACGAAGGCTGCCCTGTTTCTTAAAGTATTTCAGTGGAGCTAAAATGTGTTTCTCAAATGCAATGGTTACGCAGTGCAAAATTTTCTAATGTATTACGTTAATCAAGGAATCATTATATATAGAAAAATAGTGAAGCTTCAAAATGGAACACATTTTCTCATTCTACATAAATTTCGAATCTCTTTAGTTTGTGTTTTTTTTCAGCTGCCAAAAATCACTTTGTCACATTTTATGATTTTCTCCCTAGTAGTATTGAAATATAATTTTAAGTATATTTTAGAAAGGTAAAACCTGATAATACGTGTTGTTTTTATTGTAACATTTGCAGTCGTTAATAAGAAAATGGCCAATTAGCGTTTCGGTCTTTTCACCCAAAACGTTCGCGTCTTCGAGAAACTTTGCAATAACTTCGACTCGCAAATCTAATAACGAATACATATTGCCAGTAATGTGAATATTAACGACGATATTTAAAAAAATTGTATTACAAAAATAATACAGCAAAATGGCGTTTATGTTATCTTATACCGTGCATTTAACATTATACATACCAAAAGATTAAAGAAAAAAATTGAAGTGGTTTTTGAGAATATTTGAGTATTTCTGAAAATGCGGCATGTTGGACTCATTCTCATAAAAAACTTTTTTTTTGAGAATCATTATCAACCTTCATTTGAAGCACTTGTACAATGTATGCAACCTGCTAGAAATGAAAATATAAACCACATCAGTGAAATATTTAAAGAAGTAAATTTGTGTAGTTTTGGGAAAACAAAAGAAAACAGCAAAATGAAATTTTTCTTATCTTATACAGTGTATTTAACACTATCTCTACAAAAATTTCGAAGACAAAATTTAGAGCTATCTTTAAGAAAATGTTGAAAATGTCCTAGAAACTTGATATAAAATACCCCCCAAATTTAAAGACATATTTCAAAATCACTTGGCTTCTAATCGCGCCTAATAGACCGAGGATATTCATTTCGGCAAAAATCCCACGGATAGTTTGCACTAGTGTTGTTCATGAACGAACGGACGGACGTCAGACCGACGAAGAAATGTTTAGATAACAACAGGTTTTTGGTATTATGGACCTTAAAACTTATATTTGTGTTGAAATCAGAAAATCCATTAGCAGTTCATAACCTACTCTATCTACGTATATTTTGCAGTATATACGAACATATTCGAGAAAGTAAAAGAGGTTTATAATGCATATTTACAGTCAAGTTGAGGAAATGAAAAAAAATATCGTCTTTGTCTTGTAAATAGTAAGAACTAGGTAGTGAATTTTAATGACCTAAAACAACGCCAAAAATGATCAATATAATGTTCTTAAAATACTTCAAAAATGGAAAAGAAAAAACACAAGAAACAAAGAAAAATTACGTAAAAAATTGATCAAACCACTTCGGATGAACAACTGAAGGATATATTACTGACAAACAAAGGATATATTACTGATGTAATTAAGGCTTCATCCTTTTGTTCAACTGAACTCAGCTTGCAAACGTTTGGTTAGGACTGGAGGTTTGGTTTGAATTTTCTTAAAAGAAAATCTCTTCCTTTATCGCAAAATCGGCAGAACTGACACTGGTGCCTATAAGCGTCACTGGAAACCAAGGATTACTCACAACGGCTGACATTACAATATAAGATCGAAGAAATCGAATGGGCTACTCAGGAGTTCTGTGGTGAACATTTGTTGAACCTCGTAAATATTGCTAGAAGCAAGTACCATTATATTATATTAAAATAGATGAAATCAGCGAAAATGCATTAATAATAACGTAAAAAGGAAAAAAATGACGTATTAGCCTAAGTCGAAAAAAATGCAAAAAATGACGTATAAAAATGGTATTTCTTTTTTAATAACCTAAAATTCATTTCTATACTAACCGTTATTGTTGTAAAGTGAAAAGAAAAAAAAAACAAATTTAATTAAAATCTTTCCCCTAGTCATAACGTGATCGACTTTTTTGATATAATAATAATAATAATAATAATAATAATAATATTTATTGAGTCACATATTTAATTACAATCGTGTATGACGAGTCAATATGATGTCTTGGCTGGAGAGAACGAAGTTACATTGCTGTTCAGGAGCGGAACTAGGAAACCATCTCAGCATTTGCTCAAGTAACCAGGAAAACTGAACAAAAAAACTTGTTGAGATGGGATCGTTGGCTTAGGAATTATGCCACAATACTTGCTACAGATAGAATAAGATATTACGCAGTAAATCATTATTTTTAGTAGCAAATAATTCAACATTTCAAGATTTGTACAGTTTCATGTTAAAAGTAAAACTAAAATTTACTTGTTATTGTAATTTTACTGCTGCTACTTATAATAATAATAATAATAATAATAATAATAATAATAATATTAATAACAATAACATTAAAATAGTACGTGATATCAATTATGATAGCAACTACATTCAATTTAACAATAGTAGTACACTCTATGATTAAATCTTGAAATATTGAGAAGGAGGCAGGTTTAACCCAGAATTTTTATTTGTACACCTAGTCTTACTGCAGCACTTCATGCATCTAGCAAGTCCAGGCTGAGGGAAACAGAAATTGTGGTCAGACATTCCCCTTCTACATCGCAGGACGCGATATGCCAATTCTTTTTTCTTTGCTTTAGCTCGAAACAGTCAACATGAAACAAAAAGTCAAGTGGAATAAAAATTTTATTTATTTATATTTTTTAAGGGAAGTATTGTCGTGATTTGAATATTTCATTACACTGTAGAACATGTTGTTAAGCAGGAAAGCTTTAAATTATCTTTTATTAGTTTGAATTATGGTAAAGTCTTTAATGTCATTTTCTAGTTTGTTGTTAAGTGTAATGCTCTCTATTAAGATACTTTTTTAACAAAGTGTAGTTTCAGAGTGGGGATCGTGTAGGTTATCCATTTGAAAAGTGTTCTACATCGGAATCTAGAGTAAA